ACGAGTCACGAAGGTATCACCGAGCATTCACAGCGTCCCAAACGAGCACGCAAGCCAGTGCAGCGCTTGAACCTCGCAGTCGGTGCATGCTTCCCAGTCACAACCAAGTGTGCCGATCCTCACTGCATGGACTGCAAGGTAGTCGCCATGTGTCACGCCATCAGTTGCCTCCCACCTGAGCCATCCACTCGCAAACAAGCACTGGCAAGCGCTGAGAGGGCAGAGTGGGTAAAGGCAGAGAGAGAAGAGATTAACAGCCTCCTTGCACAAGGTACATGGGTCCTTGCACCACTCCCTCCTGGTAAGAGAGCACTAAAGGTTAAGTGGACATACCGAGTGAAAGTGAAGGGAGACGGTACACTGGACCGATTCAAGGCACGCCTGGTAGCCAAAGGTTTCTCACAGATGCCAGGCACGGACTACACAGAGACCTTCTCTGCCGTAGCCAAGTACACCACAGTCAGGTGCCTCCTGGTAATGGCCACAGTGAAGGATCTCCACATCCATCAAATGGATGTGAAGAATGCCTTTCTCTATGGTAAGCTCGACGAAGAGATCTACATGGTACAGCCCGAAGGTTACTCCGATGGTACCACCAACGTCTACAGGCTGCTGAAGTCCCTCTATGGACTAAAGCAAGCACCACGAGTCTGGTTTCACACCCTTGAGGTATCACTCCTCACCCAAGGTTTCACCAAGTCACAGTTCGATGCAGCACTGTACATCCTACGCACAAGTGAGGGGGAGTCCTTGTGGCTCCTAGTCTATGTGGACGACATCCTCCTCGTGTCAGCATCCTTGAGTCTCCTGACACGCATCAAAGGTATGCTCACCCAAGACTTCATCATGACAGACATGAGTGAGCCCTCACACTACCTTGGTATGAACATCGTGAGGGACCGCACCACCAAGTCACTTTTCATCTCACAGCAGAGGTACACTGAGAAGGTCCTTTCAAGGTTTGGTCTCCTTAACTGCAACCCAGTTGAGACCCCACTCCCCTCGGACTTCATGCCAAGCTCACACGAGCAAAGCATTGACCCTTCCACTGTTGAATCAGAGGTCACTGATCTTGAGGGTGAGGTCGAGAGCCTTGAGCCTCCTGAGGACATTGGTCATGACACCTATGCACCACAGTCCACGTCCCACATCACACCCCTTGAGCTCTCACTCTACCAGAGCCAAGTGGGCAGCCTTATGTACGCCTCCATCTGCACCCGTCCTGATCTTGCTCATACCGTTGCCATGCTCTCTCAATGCATGACATCACCTACTCGCATGCATCAGCGTGGGGCACTTCGTGCCCTGCGCTACCTCAAATCATCCTCTTCCTTTGGTCTCCTCTTTCAAGGGTTTGAGGGTGCAAGCATGCTGTATGGCTTCACGGATGCAAATTGGGCTGGGGATATCCCTACTCGCAGGTCCACTGGAGGATACATCTTCATGCTTGGAGGGGCAGCCATCTCTTGGCAGTCAAAGAAGCAGAGTTGTGTGGCTTTATCAACCACGGAGGCAGAGTACATGGCTGCGACCCAAGGAGCCCGAGAAGCAGTGTGGATGAGAGGCCTATTGAAGGAGCTTGACCTCCCACAAGAGAGCCCTACTCCCATCTTCATCGACAACACGTCGACGATCGCTCTCACCAAGAACCCAGTCTTCCATGGGAGGACCAAGCACATTGCGACGCAGTACCACTACGTCCGGGAGCTTGTGGAGCAGAAAATCATTGAGCCCCTGTTTTGCCGCACGAGTGAGCAAGCGGCGGATTTCCTCACCAAGGTCGTTGCACGCGACATCTTCATCAACAACCGAGTTCAAGCCGGGTTAGTCCCAGCAGTCGGATTTGAGGGTACGGGCTTGCAGTGAGGGGGAGTGTTGTGAATGGCACGCTCTTCACGTGCCACGCTACTGTGCCACTCCAACCCCTTCCCCTCAAAACACCCTCGACACATTTTCCTAAGAGCCCATCCAAACCACTCAACTCTTCCAAAGCCTATTCCAACCACTCAAGTTACAAACTCCTTTTTTTTTCAACTCATCCTCTCCAACTCAAGCCTATCAACCACCTCTTTAACTACTCCCAACCACCATAGACTTTCCTAGTCCAACTCAACCAATATTCAAACCAACTTCCCATACTTATCCTCAAGTCCCACCATAAGGCACATGACTCCTCATGATTTTCCATGTGCTTTCCTTTCCTACTCATCAAAGTTTACCCAAGTCATCTACCTCCTCCAATTATCCTCCTCTCATGTGCCTTCAAGCACATGCTTCTACTTCCTAGTCATCAACCTCCACATGCCTCTCATTTATTCCTTCCATCATTCCTTTCCCAAGTCACCAAAGTTGCCACCTCATCCCTAAGGACTTCATGATTATCCCATCACCTCCTATTACAAGGCAACAAAACTCATCATCTCCTCCACTCATCCTTATCCAACTCACTAAGCTCTCTTCCAACTCAACAAGGCTTACATCTCCAACTCATCAAGTGCTCAACCACCATCACATGCTCCAATACTATTCATCTACATCAAGCATCTCTACAACTTCTCAAGAAGGTTCTTCAATGACAACAATGCATTCCAAGCTTCTTCACCAAGCTCATTTCCAAGCTTCTCCTTCAAGCTCCTCTTCTACTACAAAGGCTCCTCACTAGCAACCAAGTTCTATGTCTCCAAAAGTTGATACTCTCATGCAACTCTCTTCCAAGGCTACCATTGATGGTTACTCTCTCTATGCATGCCTATGTATCCCTCATGGATCTATAAGGCTTGTACTATACCTCTTTCAATATAAGTTTATGGTCACAAAGTGTCTCTCATTAGTCTACAAAGTTAAGCATCAAGTGAAGAGTAATCACCTCATACTCTACTTGAGTATAAGGTTCATTACTTCCTACAAGCTTGAGGAAGGATCATCACCCAACACCAAGCTTGATGTTCTTCTTCAAGTAAAGCTCTCAAGACCAAGCCATTCCTACAAGTCACCTCTACAACTATCCCTAGTAAGATTCATTTAAGTAAGTGCCTATCCCCTCTCTTATTCTCTCAACAAGCTCATACTCTCTTTCTCCATTTTTGTGTTTTTATCTCATCAAGCATTCCACCTTACACAAGTTTCTCTTTGTAGTCCCAAGTTCTAAGTATCATCTTCTCTTCTATCAAGCTCATCCTCATTTACTACAATTCCACTGTTTACTCTTGTCTTATTCTATTGTGCAATCATACTCTTTCATCCTTATCTCAATTCTCTACAGTTTTGACGAGGACGCTTGATTGATGCATGTTATGAATTTTCTATTATCCTTCACTTAACATGTGCTTATGCCGGAGTGGTTAACGGGACAGACTAGAAATCTGTTGGGCTCTGCCCGCGCAGGTTCGAGTCCTGCTGAGCACGATTTTGTCTTTTAAGGGTTTTTGCTGAGAGATTCATAATGAACATTTATCGGTCTAAAGACATTCTGTATCAATATGTGGTTTGCACGCGCAACGCGTCAGCCTGCAAAGTGTATTTTGTGCTGCGGTGATGAGTGCCCCAGACTGATCAGAGCAAACGTGTCTCCAGCGTTCTTCCATTCCCTCCTTCATGCATCACGGACGGCGCTGGGACTCGTGTTTCTGCTAGGAATCTACGACCATCGTAACAACCAATGGGCCGTGCTCTATTTTGTGGGGGTTTGTGGGAGTAGCTACGTTTTTACTCGGTTTGTAATCTCGTCGCAGCAAACTGCATTCCGTCCTTCTTCTATTGCTCCTCGTCGCAGTGCGACGTCGCACTGAAGCGCGGCGATCGAGTGATCAGCCTAACCGTCGTGCTTTTGCGCTGCTCATCGGAAGCAATTCGCCATGGCGATGCGACTGTTGCTCCACGCGAGGCAACGCGCGGGATCTGTGCCGTCCGTCGCACTGAGGTCAGTCTGTCGCACTGAGGTCATTCCGTCGCACTGAGGTCATTCCGTCGCACTGAGGCATGTCGCTGTCGCACTGAGGTCAGTCTGTCGCACTGAGGCATGTCGCAGTCTCACTGAGGCATGTCGCAGTCGCACTGAGAGTCCGATGTGCGAGTAGGTAAATCATATCAGCTTCTTGCTACACGATAGGGGCGGAAAAGAGAGGGGGAAGATAGGGACTGGGGAGTCAGATGCGCGCGTTGGCAGATCCGATGAGATTCTTCCCGCGATGGAATCGCACCGAGGGGGTCCGATGAGATCCTTTCTTCACGCGAGGCGGCGCGAGATTCTAAGAGTGACAATGGATCCGTCATCTCTGTGCTCTTAGATTAGTCCTGTTCGCCTCCCAGCGTTAGGCACTCCACTCCCCATCCCGATCTCTTCCTGTCCGAGCGTCGCCCTGGATCCGTCCGCGACTTTTAGATCAGTCCCTCCCTCTCCCTGCATCACTCACGCACTCCCCATCCCGTTGTGTTCGCATTTTTTTAGGCGCCGCAAAACCCGCCTGCTCCTCTCCCCGCATCACTCATTCTGGTCCCCATCTCAATCGCGTCTGAGAGGAGGAGAATTTTCAGAATTCCTCAAAAATTTCCTCCGAGAGCGACTTTTGAGTCGACTCAAAAGTCACCAAGTTTCCTCCGAGAGCGTCTTCCTGGATACATCCACTCCGTAACTTCATTTTTAATCACTCCCGCTCGCCTCCCCACGTTACTCATTCCGCTCTCCTTTCTGCTCTGTTCGCGTCTGAGCGTTTTCATGGATCCATCCCCTTCGTCTCTCCTAGTTCTTTTTTCTGCTCTGAGCTCTCGAGTACTTTGTTTTTAGAAAGCGGTCAGATCAGTTCAGATCAGTCCACCTGTACATTCAAAGTATGAGACCCTTGATATTTTTCGTAAATGTTACAATTTAGGTATTTACTGTTGCGGTGTACCATTCAGTTGTGCACTGCAGCTATATTCGAAACTGTCTTCCACATGCTTCTCCCTTTTCTGTTTTCCGTTTTTTGTTTGTTTTGTTTTGTTTTTTTTTTTGTATTTTACAGGCCCATTCTATCTACACCTGCCGAGCCAGCTGCAGCTCCTCCTGCTGCTCCTGCTGATTCCTCCGCTCCCTTGAGAAACCATCACTCAGAGTCCGATCCTCTATTGTCACACTTGGCACTGTCACCCTCCGTTACTACAAGGCATGCTGCAGCAGCAGCAGCCCATGCATCCACTCCCTTTGCTCTTGCGTCTTCTCCGCTCCTCCCGTCTGTAACGCTCATTGGCGGTTACCATGTTTACAGCAGCCACGTCTACAGTAACCGTGCGTACAGTAGTTTCGCTAGCACAGCCTCCACTGCAGGAAATTTGCCCTGCTCGTTACAGTCACACGTGGCCCCCTCCATTCCGAACCTGCCCTCTCGGTTCCTCTCGTCCGTCCCTCCCGTCGCTTCCCAAGTCTCTGAATCTGCTTCGGAGTCATCTGCCGAGCCAGCTGTTCCTGGCTCGGGGCTCCCTGTCAAGCCTGCTGCTACTGGTTCGGGGATACCTGCCGAGCCTACTGGTGATGATGCTTCGGCAGCAGGGAAAGATGAGGATACCACGAGTGTGAAAGTGAGCGAAGCAGAAGCAGAAGCAGAAGTTTCAGAGATTTTGGGAGGAGGGAATCACAGCATCACAGGCAGCCCCGTGAACAGTAGCACCACCATCAGCAGCAACAGCAGCAGCGGCATCAACAGAAACAACCGTTTTGGCAGCGGCGGGGAGGGCCGAACCGGAGACGGAGGTTCGGGCATTCAGGCTTGGAAGAAACAGCCGAGGCAGCGAGGGAGCAGACAAACGGGCAGCAGCAGAGACTGTACGTGCAGAGAGGGTGTGAGTGAGTGAGTGAGTGAGCGAGTGAGTGAGTGAGATGTATGAGCGGCAGCGATGAGACAGGCGAACGCAGGGCAAGGACTATATGTGCTGGCACATGTTCTCTTCTCTTTCCAGCTCTCCCCTTCCCTTTGGAGCCTTAAACCCTCAACTCGAGAACTCTCAAGCCAGATGTTCCCAGGCGGCTCTGAAACAGCAGCAATGACTATAGGTGCTGGCACATGTTTTCCTCTCTCTCCAGCTCTCCCCCTCCCTTTGGAGCCCTAAACCCACAACTCGAGAACTCTCAAGCCATATGTTCCCTAAAACCCCAAGTCTCCCGTTTTCCCCCAAGTCTTCCCTTGCTGGCCGGGCCACTCATCTCTCATACTGGCCGGGCTAGCCTTGCCCCTTTCAGGGCGCAGGGGGCAGCTGTGGGGCCTTATCAGTGGGATGCTCGGCGGCTCATGTATCATACTGGCCGGGCTAACCTAGCTTCCTTAGACTCCATAATCCTGAATCTCAAACCCCTTTCAGGGCGCAGGGGGCAGCTGTGGGGCCTTATCAGTGGGATGCTGGACGGCACATCTGTCATGTTGGCTGGTTATATCCATGCCTCCACATCTCTTCTCCTTAAACCTCAAATCCTGTTACGGATTATCTATTCATTGTGCAGGGGGCAGCGGTGGATTAATATACGCCGGTTGCGCGGCAACGCTTAAGTCGTGTCGAAAACCACACTACTTTTAACCCAAACCCCGTACCTTCAACTTAAAAGCCCAAACTCTAATCCCCTTTCAGTGCGCAGGGGGCAGTGTGGGGAGTTCTAAGTCGTGTGCGCAGCATGGAGGCGCTGAAACCCTAACCTCTGTCTTGCTGCCCTGCCCATGGAGGCGTGGGGGGAGGATGGCGGCAACTTTCTAACCATGCTTCCTTACACTCCCCAATTCTTCCTTTTGCTCCTTAAACCCCAAATCCTAAATATATATCAGTGCGCAGGGGGCAGCTGTGGGGTGTTATCAGCCGTGTGCGCAGCAACAATCCTGTCCTGCCGGCCATTGAGGCGTGGAGGATGGCGGGAGGAGTGCTGGATAAGGAGCTGCTGCTGTGGGTGAGTGCGGTGCAGTCTGGTGTGAAGCGGTCCGGTGTGGTGCAGTGTGGTGTGGTTTGGTATGGTGTGGTTCGACTGGCTGTAGGTGCGTGTTTGCTTGGGGCGACGCGCCTCTGTGCTGCTGCCCATTGAGGCGCGGAGGATGGCGGGAGACGTGTTGGATAAGGAGCTGCTGCTATGGTTGAGTGCGGTGTGATGCGGTGCAGTGTGGTGTGGTGTGGTGCGACTGGCTGCAGTGCGGTGTTTTGCTTGGGCCAGCGCCTCTTTCCTGTCGGCCATTGATGCGTGCTGGATAAGGGCGTGTAAGATCCCCGTGCACACCAATTCGGCCGGCCGAAGCTAGCGAAACTAACCCTGTTACGAAGGTCGCGGTAAGATTGCGACCGTCGCGCAAAAACGGCCACTTAATTCACAAATTGCTGGCCGTTTCGAAGGTCGACTCTTTTGCGACCGAACCCCAAACAGGAGTCGACTCAGAAGTCAAAACAGCCACGTAATTTACTATTTGTTGGCCGTTTCCAAGGTCGACACTTTTGCGACAAGAAGTTGACTCGACAACAGCCAGGGTGTCGACACCACGCGACTTCTGTTCCGGGGCGACGTCGCAGGCACAGCATTGCGACAGTGCGTGAATTTTGTGGCCGGATAGAAGGGTTTCAATACCATGTTTGGGCGACTACTGTTTGGGCGACTCCGTCGCTGTAGTTCGGCCACCAGGACAAAACGAAAGTTGACAACTCTGGTATAGCGGCCACCAAATCCAACATACGTCAAGTCAGATTTGCAGGCCACTTTACCATGGCTGAAGTCGAGTCGACTTTGTAACGGTCACATTGTCGACTTTGTAACGGCCACATTGTCGACTTTGGCGAAACATTTGGTCGACCAAATGGTCGACAAATTTCAGCCAAAACGTGTGCACGGGGATCTTACACGCCCAAAGGAGCAGCTGCTGTGGGTGAGTGCAGTGCAGTGTGATGCACTGCGGTCCGGTGTGGTGTGATGTGGTGTGGTGTGACCGGTTGTGTTTGCTTGCGTTGCATGGTTGTGTGCGTGTGATATTTTCTGCCAAAGCCTCTGCCACTTTCTCTCTATCCCATCCCTCTACTTGCAGTCAATCGCTGCAGTCTGCATCCCATAGGTCCACCAAGTATTTTCTCTTCTCTCCTCTCTCTCTTGTTCTCACTATCCCATCCCTTTGCTTGCAGTCAATCGCTGCAGCCCATAATCCCACCGAATTGTTTTATCTTCTCTCACTCTCTTCTCCCTTCTCTCGTCTCTCTTTCTCTCTCCCTTGTTCTCTCTCCCATCCATCTACAGGCAATTCGTCGCTGCCAGGCATACGCTTACCCTTTCACCCTCCCACTCACACATACGCTTACCCTTTCACCCTCCCACTCACACATATGCTTACCCTTTCACCCTCCCACTCACACATATGCTTACCCTTTCACCCTCCCACTCACACATATGCTTACCCTTTCACCCTCCCACTCACACATATGCTTACCCTTTCACCCTCCCACTCACACATATGCTTACCCTTTCACCCTCCCACTCACACATATGCTTACCCTTTCACCCTCCCACTCACACATATGCTTACCCTTTCACCCTCCCACTCACACATATGCTTACCCTTTCACCCTCCCACTCACACATATGCTTACCCTTTCACCCTCCCACTCACACATATGCTTACCCTTTCACCCTCCCACTCACACATATGCTTACCCTTTCACCCTCCCACTCACACATACGCTTACCCTTTCACCCTCCCACTCACACATATGCTTACCCTTTCACCCTCCCACTCACACATACGCTTACCCTTACCCTCTCTTCCCCCTTCTCTCCTCTCTCTCCCTTTCTCTCTCTCCCGTCCCTCCACAGGCCATCCGTCGCTGCCAGCCATACGCTTACCGAGCAAAAGCAGCAGAGGTGAGCAATACAAATGTCTGCGTTGCCTCATGGTACAGTTTGCTGTCGCTGCAATAACCCACATGCTTACCGAGCAAAAGCAGCAGAGGTAAGCAACAATTTTTTACCTGCGTTGCCTCATTATTACAACTTGTTGTCATTGCAACAACCCATATGCACTCCAAGCAAAAGCAGCAGAGGTGAGCAACATACAGCTCAACCCATTGTAACCATTAGTGAAAAAAGTTGAATTAAGATCCAAACATACAGCTCAATCTAAACTCTAGACTTAGGCAAACATGTTGCGGCTTCGCACAGGGATCATACTTGCTAGGCCTCCATCAGCAGCAGAGGTGAGCAATAAGCCTCGTCTCTTTCTGAGGCACCTTTATTCAACTCAACTCCACCGTTCCAGCCCGTATGTGTGTGTGATTATTGATACACCACACTCCACATGACCACTCCACACCACCCCAAACCACTCCACACCACCCCAAACCACTCCACTCCACATTGAGGCACCTTATTTGAACTCAACTCCACCGTTCCAGCCCGTATGCACACCGAGCGAAATCAAGCCTTTTTCCCTTCTGAGAATTCTCAAAAGTGATTTCAATGTAGCCAATGTGCAGCACTCCCTTTATCTTTTTGAGGCGCCTCCAAAATCTTCCCACTGTGCAGCACTTCCAGTGTGATAAGTCGAGTTCTGAGTCGACTCAAAACTCGTTCCAGCCCACATGCACGCCAAGCGAAATCAAGCCTTTTCCCCACCGAGCAGCACTTCCTTTGGCTTTCCTCTCCCTCACCCCCTCTCGTCGAACAACACTTTGGGGCGCCTCAAAGCCGTATGCAAACCAAGCGAAATCAAGCCTTTTTCCCACCGAGCAGCACTTCCTTTGGCTTTCCTCTCCCTCACCTTCTAGCAACATTTTGAGGCGCCTCAAAAGTCGGTGTGCGCACGCACGGAGAGAAAACAAGCCTCTTTCTCACCAAGCAGCACCTTCCTTTGGCTTTCCTCTCCCTCACCCGTTTGGGTCTGGCAACATTTGGTGCGCCTCAAAAGCCCGTATGCACACCGAGAAAAATCAAGCCCTTTTCCCACTGTGCAGCACTCCCTTAGTCTTTTTGAGGCGCCTTCAAAATCTTCCCACTGTGCACCACTTTCTTTGGATTTCCACTCCCTCACCCTCTCGTCTAGCAACAGTTTGGGGCGCCTCAGAAGCCCGTTTGCACTCTGAGCAAAAGCAATATTTCCACTCACTCACCCCCTCACACCCTCCTTTCTCACCGAGCTGCTTTGCTTTCCTCTCCCTCACCCACTCGTCTAGCAACATTTGCTCCTCTCACTGCCGTCCACATTCCCCCACTCTTTCTCCTCCCTCCACTCCGCCTTGCAGCTCTCTCATTGACTCATCACCTCATCAGGCTTTCCCCTCACCTACCTTGATTACCAACTCGCCCTCGCCCGTTGCCCCTTCCGCACTTCCCCCTTCCCTCCCCCCCCCCTCCTCCTCTTCCCCCTCTTCTCCTCCAGCTCTCTCAATGGCTTATTTCCTCTTCAGGCTTTCCCCTCACCTACCTTGACTACCAACTCGCCCTAGCCTGTGCTGCGCGGTGCAATGCGGTGGGGACCGTTCGAGAGATGTTCCTCTCCTTTCCTGAGGAGTTTTGCAAAGAAAAGGTGGGTGGGATTTAGAGTTGATTTGGATTGAGTGTGGTTGAGCAATGTTGTTTTTCTCCTTGTAGCAGTATTTTTGCAAAGAAAAGGTGGGTGGGATTTAGAGTTGATTTGGATTGAGTGTGGTTGAGCAATGTTGTTTTTCTCCTTGTAGCAGTATTTTCACTTCCTACCCGAATTGTTTTGTTTTTTTATCTGCCCGCTCAGGTGTATGTTGGAGTGCTACACCATTTTGCCAGGCGCGGGCGGACGCACAAGCTAGGGGAAGAACTGGAATGGCTCCGTAATCAAGGGGTAACTGAGGAAAATGCCTCATATCGGTCGAAGCTTCAAGCATTGCTAACCGAGCAGGAGATTATATCGAAAGGGGCTACCTTGAATGGAGCAGATATGACAATAACGAGCGAGGGAGGGGGGGAAGGAGGAGGAGATGAGGAGGAGGGAGGGGGAGGGGGAGGGGAGGAAGGGGAGGGGGGTTGGAATGATGCGGATTGGTTTGAGTTGGGGGAGGGGAAGGAAGGTTCAAGGAAGGAGCGGTTGGAGAAAGTGCTGGGGGATGTTGATTTGTTGCTCCAAGAGATGAAGGAGAAGGTGAGTGTAACGAGAGGGTGATTGTAACAAGAAGAAAGTATTGATAAGGATAGGAAGGTGATTGTGACAAGAATAAGGTTTGTATAAGAAGCACAATTAGAAGTTAAGTTAAAACGAGTCGAAGGTGATTTTAACGAGAAGATGGTGAGTAAAAGCAGATGGTTAAGCTGCTTATATCGAGAAAAGGGTGTTTATATCGAGAGCATCACGGAATGATGCGTGTCGAACGTTACCTACAACATCATTCCAGCCAGCCTTTGCAGGCATGGGTTCATGTGTGTGTGTGTGTGCTTGTCCCATAGCCACGTATGTGTGTGTTCGCTCGGCACAATTGCTATTTATGTATCATATACCACTCTCCTTTGCTCCCTCTGTGTCTCCACCCACCTCACAGGGAATGATGCCGGACAAAGTTGCTTACTACGTCGTTCTTGCCAGCCTCAGCTGGGGGGGATTCATGCAGGGAAATGTTTATGTGCCTCCCCTGCAGTAATGCTAAGTTTGGGGTGTCCCTCCCCTGTTGCTGCAACGTTTCCTACCTCACAGGGAATGATGCCTGACGAAGTTGCTTACAACGTCGTTCCAGCCAGCCCCAGCAGGCTTGGGGTCCCATGTGTGTTCCGCCCTCCCCTGTTCGCCCCATCCTTCCTGGCACCACAGGGAATGATGCCTGACGAAGTTGCTTACAACATCATTCCTGCCAGCCTCGCCAGGCTTGGGTCGGGAAGATGCGTGCGTGCAAGTTTGGAGACGTCTCAAGGCTCAGGCACATGTGTGTGTGCTGTGGGAGTGTTACACGCTATTGCGATACGTATGATGATTGATACACCACTCCACACCGCACCACACCATACCACACCACCCCTCAGGGAATGATGCCTGACGAAGTGGCGTACAACATCGTTTTAGCCAGCCTCGCCAGGCTCGGGCAGATCGAAAAAATGGAGGCCTATCTTGCACGCATGCGGGCAGATGGCGGGCAGCCCAGCGGCGTGTCGTACAACATCCTGATTGGTGCATACGCGCTCGCCGGGCAGTTTGAAAAAACGGACCTGTGTATCGAGGCGATGAAGGAAGCAGGAGAAAGGCTGAATGTGAAGACGTATTGGTCCCTGATGGGGCGATACGCGAAACGAGGAGCGGTTGAGAGGTTTTCCAAAGTGTGGGAAGAGGTGAAGCAGGCCGGGTTGCCTCTTGACAGGTGGGTTCTGTTCTGAGTCGTGATTTCTCTGTGTGGTTGGGGGTGGTGGGAGGGGGGAAACGAGGGGAAAGGTGGTTGGGTAGAGGGGGAAGTGGGAGAGGTGGGGAGGGGAAGGGGCATACTAGGGGAGAGAAGGATGAGGGAGGGGGGATGGGGGGAAGGTTTCGTAGGAGTTGCATTGTGGTCTGGTTGTGAGTGGATAAGTCTCCTCCCTCCCTCCCTCCCTCCCTCCCTTGACTTTTGTTTCGACTCAAGAGTCAATTCGGAGGGCTTGCATTGTGGTCTGGTTGTCTGTCTTCCTTCCCTCCCTCTTTCCCTCCCTCGCTCCCTCTTACCCCCCTTTCCTTGCTTCCTTTCTTTCTTTCTATCTGTTAAGCAACAAAAAACAACCCTGAAACTCCTTCCCCCCACTCCCTCCCACCCCTTCCCACCCCTTTACCATCCCCGCCCCTTTTGGCCTGTAAACTTTCAGAAGCATGCACCACTCTCGAATCGAGGTTCACAGCCCAAAACAACAACCTTGAAACCCCTTTCCCCCGCCCCCTCCCACCCCTTCCCGCCCCTTTCCATCCCTTTCTTATTCCCCCTCGCCCCCGGCCCCTGGCCTTTGAACTTACAGAAGCATGTACCACTCTCGAATTGAGGTGCACAGCCGAGCGGGGGATTTGGAGAAGGCGGAACAGGTGAGAGGGGAAAAAAGAGGAGTTGAGAGGATTTGAAAGGAGTTGAGAGGTTTTGAGAGGAGTAAAGAGCGTACAAGGGAGCATGTACCACTCGAATTGATGCGCACAGCCGAGCGGGAGACATGGAGAAGGCTGAGCAGTTGAGAGGGGAGAAAGGAGGAGTTGCGAGGAGTTGAGAGGATTCAAGAGGATTTGAGTGGAATTGAGTGGATTTGAGAGCGGAAAAGGGAGCATGTACCACTCTCGAATTGAGGTTCACAGCTGAGCGGGAGACATGGAGAAGGCCGAGCGGTCGAGAGGGGAGAAAGGAGGAGTTGAGAGGAGTTGCGAGGATTCAAGAGGATTTGAGTGGATTTGAGAGCGGGAAAGGGAGCATGTACCACTCTCGAATCGCGGTTCACAGTCAAGCGGGAGACCTGGAGAACGCAAGAGGAGTTGCAGGAACTGTGCGCTTTTGAGACATCTCAAAACTCGATTATGAGACGTCTCAAAGCTAGAAGGCAAGAGGAGTTGCTGGGACTGTGCGCTCATGGCCCCCACCACGCCATCATTCAACGTGCTTCTAGCGGCTCTCAGTCAGTCAGTCAGTCAGTCAGTCAGTCAGTCAGGCAGGCATGAGAAGAGATCCCTGTTCTCCTGCCTCCTCCCTTCCCTTCCCAGGCCTTCAACGAGATGTGTGCGCGCATGCCCCCCACCACGCCATCATTCAACGTGCTCCATGTCTGCAGTGCTGCCTTCCTCACTTTGTTCCATACTGCCTATCCCGTCTTCCCCTGCCTGGTACATCCCTCCGCTCCCCCCACCAGGCATTCAACGAGATGTGTGCGCGCATGCCTCCCACCACGCCATCATTCAACGTGCTTCTAGCAGCTCTCAGTCAGATGGGCAGGGAGGGCAGGCCCGACAAGATTCCAGCAGTGCTGCCCTCCTTACCCTGATCTCCTGCCCCCTCTGCCCCCCCCTCCCTTCCCTTCCCAGGCCTTTAACGAGATGTGTGCGCTCATGCCCCCCACCACAGCATCATTCAACGTGCTCCTGGCGGCACTCGGCAGGGCGGGCAGGCTCAACAAGATCCCCGCTTTGCTGCCCTCCTCACCTTGTTTCGGTCCTACTGCCTATTCCCTGTTTTCCTCCCCCTGTGCCTCCCTCCCTACCCCATCCCACCCTTTTTTCCCAGGCCTTCAACGAGATGTGTGCGCTCATGCCCCCCACCACAGCATCATTCAACGTGCTCCTGGCGGCACTCGGCAGGGCGGGCAGGCTCAACAAGATCCCCGCTTTGCTGCCCTCCTCACCTTGTTTCGGTCCTACTGCCTATTCCCTGTTTTCCTCCCCCTGTGCCTCCCTCCCTACCCCATCCCACCCTTTTTTCCCAGGCCTTCAACGAGATGTGTGCGCTCATGCCCCCCACCACAGCATCATTCAACGTGCTCCTGGCGGCACTCGGCAGGGCGGGCAGGCTCAACAAGATCCCCGCTTTTATGCAGTCCATGCAGCGGTGGGGGCGGCCAAGGGACGCCAAGACATTCGTCTTCCTTATCGACGCGTTTCTAAGAGCTGGTGAGGGGGGCACTGCATAAGAGGTGTGTGGTGTGTGTGTTGAATAAGGGATGGAATGCTGGTGGGCGCGGCCCAGGGACGCCAAGACATACGTCTTCCTTATCGACGCGTTTCTAAGAGCTGGTGAGTAGGGAGGGCGGGGAGGAGAGGGGCAGGGAGGGTGGGGAGGAGAGAGGCAGGGAGGGTGGGGAGGAGAGAGGCAGGGAGGACAGGGAGGCTCGACAAGATCCCCGCTTTGCTGCAGTCAATGCAGCGGTGGGGGCGGCCGAGGGACCCCGGGACATACGTGCGCCTCATTGAACCATTCCTGAGATCTGGTGAGTGGTGTGTAACTGCTCCTCATCCCTGCAACACTCAGCACGGCAGGCAGGCTCGACAAGGTCCCCTCCTTGCTGCAGTCAATGCAGCGATGGGGGCGGCCGAGGGACCCCGGGACATACATACATGCCATCGCCTGTCCCACTTGTGCCAGGCAGGCGACGAGGAGAGTGCCATGAGGGCCCACTGTCTCTTGTACCCCACAGTACCCCACAGTACCCCACAGTTCCCCACAGTACTGCACTGTACCCCACCGTTCTGTGTCTTTTCTCCCGTGCAACTTGCACCTGGCAGGCGACAAGGAGGGTGCCATGAGGGCCCTGCGGAAAGCAGCAGCCCCACCATAACCCACCACATCCCACCGTACTCCACCGTACTTATCCTTTCCCGCTTCTTCCTGGCAGGTGACAAGGAGGGAGCCGTGAGGGCCCTGCGGGAAGAAGCAGCTGTGGAAATGTAGAGGATGGACCAGAAGCTTCCATTTATCGCACTCTACCCCACTGTACCCCTCTGTGTAGTGTTTGACAGGCGATGAGGAGGGTGCCATGAGGGCCCTGCGGGATGCAGCAGCCGTGGGAATGCAGAGGATGGACCAGAAGCTTCCCTTCTCTGCCCTGATCAAGTGCTCATTCCCTCCCGGAACAAGGGTAATGCGGTTCGAGTGAAGGAGATCATTGCACCAACTCATACCCCACTGTACCCCTCCGTTTTGTCTTGTTTTTCTCTGCCTCGCCTTGTCCCCGCTTTGCCTGGCAGGCGACGAGGAGGGTGCCATGAGGGCCCTGCGGGAAGCAGCAGCCGTGGGAATGCAGAGGAACGACCAGAAGCTTCCCTTCTCTTCCTTGATCCAAGTGCTCATCCCCGCCCGGAACAAGGGCGATGTGGTTCGAGTGAAGGAGATAATTGGCCTCTCTCGTACCCTTTATAAGATGACTGATCCGCGGCTATTCCGCGACCTCGTTGTGACTATAGTGAATCGGTGGGAGAAGGATAAGGAGTTGAGGGATCCTGGGGAGGAGGGACAACTGGTGGACAAGGAAGAGGATCCTTCCTGGAAGCGTCTAGTTTTGGACATTCACGGGGTGCTGAAGGATATGAAGGAGTTGGGGATCGAGCCGACCAAAAAAACATATCAAATTCTTGAGTCTCTGGGACTGTCACATATGTTGTTGGAGAATGTGTGATTTGTGGGGTGGGTGGGCGCCCTACAAAAGTAAGGCAGCAAAAAAACATTTTGCCTAGTGATTTAGATGGATTGAAATGATTAACTCGGGTATCTTTCATTGGAGACTGAGATTTCAACCACCAGTATTGACTGAGTACTCCGAGAAAGGAACCTAACTATGATCCTTGATTCCAATTGCGTAGTTGGAACCAGGTGAAATGGAAATGTTATGGAGGTAAACTTGGTGTAGTTCCAGTGTACCTACCACTACACACCCCAATCGACACAGGCACAGTCTGACGATTTCAGCACTGTCAGATATTTCAGCCACGTCATTGTGCCGTGGTTTCGACGATTGTAGGCCATGAAAGAGATTTATTATTCATTACCACATGAGAGGTCCACTTGTACCTGGATAAGGCTTCGCCGAAACCACAAGATGGAAATTGATGGTTGTGACATTCTTGCTCCGTAGGTTACAAGAAATTCGGGCAGATCGTAACGTGTGCAAACAATGCCACAAAAACATTTGGCGCACTGTAGACTGTATCACAGTAATGTAGAACGGCCTATTTGACTTCTTGCAATGAATAAATAAACAATACGTACCGTGTCCACCTTCAGTCTGCCCGACAAGTCAGCTTCAGACACACTTTTCCAGCAGTCCACACGCCACGTGAATATTTTTTCAAAAGCTTTTACCCAGGCAGCTACGGTTTGATGCATATCCTCATATCGACGGCTTCGATCACAATTTCTTCCACTTCGGCGCTCTTCTCGAATCAAGCACAACGTTTGAAGGAAATGTAGCCGTAATTCCGCCTGAAAATACTCAACTTAATTTAACATGTCAGGTATTCTGCTAAATATTTGAAAACGCCTTAGCGATTTCGTTTAGTTCTATGGGTTATCCTTCAATGTGAGTGATTCGTGCATCCCTTCCTCTGTGCCTCCACCCAGAACTGGGGACAACGATAAGGTGCCCAGCCAGAATGGAAGTCGTACAGTCGATGCTCAGCCCATCACAAAACATTTGCTCTTACATATAGATATTTAGTCACTCGCGATCGTTTTGCCCGTGAGTGACTAAATTGACCATTTTGCCGATTTCAGGGTACAGTCACCAAGTTGAGGAAGAAAAACATCTACAGTACATAAACAACAGCGGTTGCCCGTCATGAAAGAAGTTAACCTGGTTACGAAATTAAAACCCTTGACTTGATTCACGTTGCAATTTCATATTAGTCACATTTTTGCCCGTGGCGACAGGGGCGAATGTGGCGAAACAATTTAAACACGTTTCACGCACATGCCGCCCGCCTACTTGGTGTTCTTGAAATGGACACCGACTGTACGGTGGACAGGCCTCGTTCTGACGCACCAGAATGGTCGTGGCGCGGTTCTGCCACACCAGGCCCCGTAAATGGCTCGCGCTTGGAGCAAACTCCCGAAAAGGATTTGCTTTCTGTTGCCCTCAGGGTAGCGTGCTAGAGTCGTCGGATCTGGTTCGGGCCTCATCGGATTTGTGCGGTAAGCGTTTCATGCGGCTGGCATGAGTGAGTGAGTGAGGAGGTAGGCTTGCCACAGCATGGTGGTGACCCTGTCAAGCCACAGACACGCGTGCGACATTCGACTCACTTTTCGCTGGAATGATGGAAACATCCCATCCGAGGTGGCTGGGCAGCGATTGTCTCAAACTTTCGTGAACATGTGAGGACAACCGGTTACCATTGTCGCTGAAGTCGACCACAACCAGCTCACAACCCACCTCAAGGAAAGGGAAGCCAAGCGTCATGCAGGCCACAAAACAAAATCCTCCTTTCAGTTTAGCGCTGGTGTAGCGTTATGCCTCCACCACTGGTGTAGCGCTGTAGCTAGCCACAACTACAGTTCAGGTGTACTTAGTACTGTACAAGCATTAAAAATTTCGTTTCTTATTCCATCCGCTCCCCGCCACACAAACGTTGCATCCCTGGAGCTCCACGCGCATGGCACTCCACACACTGCCAGCTCTGTCATCATCACAACATCAAGCCCCTCGTTTCTGCGGCTGTAAACCCCTTGTTCCCGTTCTTCAGCGAGATTCGGTTTAGTCGTTCGTTGCCTGCCCGGCCAATCAGACCATGGATATGTTTTTCACTTCTGCCCCTGCTTTCGCCTACCTTAGCCTCCTCCAAGCGCATCGGTGTCTACATACACTACCGGGAATGTGTTTTATATTTCCTTGCCTACAGAACAAACTAGCTAATCCGCCAGTCTTTCAGTGATCTTGGTTGATCGTCTTAGTTGGCTGCACTTAGAACGAAGCACTCTAACTGATCGACAACCATCAGTCTAGCGCTACGAGTAGGTTCACCAAGCGTATTTCAGTTCTTTTTCCGAGGTTTTGCGTAACAAGCGCTGTTCGTAACATCTGATAACCTTGTTCTGGCACTCCTCTAAAAATGGCCGTGTGCACGCCACAGGCGATCAAATCAGATGAGTACAATTTTGAGAAGAACAACTTCTTTAGCCGGCCGAGCCGCCAGTCTCTAGACTCGTATCGGCCGGCGATGGGGACTCCTCCGAAGGGCCGTCCTCCAATCAACATGTCCACTTTCTCATCTATGATGGCTCCAGGATCGTCTACGCCGGGAAGCACGCCGGGAACTTCGCCGGGAAACTCGCAAGGAGCCACGTCATCACCTTCTGAACCGAAAGCTCCGGCTGGGCTTAATATCTCCTCTTTTTCGTCGTATTCTTCCATTCACGACTCGAGGGTTCAAAAGAAGAGCCTTCTTGGCGGTAACCCAACTTTCGGCGGGAAACCCGGCGGAGCCTTCGGAGGAGAAGCGTCGCAGAAGCACCAAAGCAACGGATCGCACGTCAATCTCCCCCGCTGCCCGTCGCCGAACACGACTCTCGGTCGCCCAGGCCCGTCGCCGCAGTCGTCTTATCCCGTTTCGCCGGAATCGGACGAGTCGTCGTCGTCGCCGTCTGCCGCCGCAGTGTCCGCGTCGCAAAATTCCGGTTCAGTGCTAAGATCAGTTTCTGGAACCGGGAACTCGTTCTTAGGAGGAGGTAATTCGTTCCTAGGGAGAAGCGGCGCGACAGGTGCCGCGGCGCGGTTGGCTGGCGAGAACAACACCGGCTCGGCGACGCCTCCGCGAACTTTTGCGAACGAGTTCGGCGCGAAGGTTACCAACAAGTTGCACGAGCTGGGAGGGAATGGAGGTGGAGGTTCGGGGGCATCGTCCGCGGCGAGCTCTGGCGAGTTCGCGACAACTGCGACTGATTCGCCATGCACACCGATCAACGCGATCTGCTTAAACATGCAAGGTTAGTCGCTGATTTTCGTTTCTTTTATGTTGTAGATTATGCAGGCATTTGCAGAATGCGTTACCCTCGCTTTCTGTTGTTTGCCTGGTTACTCCCGTCCCCTAAAACTTATCGGTTTTTTTTTTCCCTGGCTCCCCTTCGCTTCTCCCGTGATTTTTTCTTTACTGTACTTTCTGCAGAGGTCGAAGAATTTGTGACTGAAAAAGAGTTTTCCAAAGCAGTGCTGCAGTTTATCGACATCACAACGATCTCTTCAAGCGTTGACGATGACGGAACGGAAACGGAATACGTCATCTGGGGCCTGAAATTTTCCGACGCCGCTGGATGGGAGTTCCCCGCTAAAGCCGCCGCTCCCGCGACGGCCTCCCCCGCCGACTCCCCCCCGCGCGCGCAGCCTCCCGCTTCCCTTCCGCCTGGCGCAAGCGGATACTTTGGCGCTCCGCGCATCGTTCCGACGGTGATTCCACCCAAGGTTGCCAAGCTGGCGGAGCGCGGCGCGCAGACGATCTCGGCAATGGAAGAGCCAATGAAGAAGCTGAACGGGCCGCGCGAGGTGGATCTTGATTTGCTTCCGAAATACATGACGGACGATGATTTGACGCGATACATCTTCGATTAAGTCACATCTTCTTATTACGTGGGGGGGAGGTGGGACAAGAAAGTGTCTCGGCGAGGAGGTTCTGATTGGCTGGGAGAGTGGGATGGGATGTGAGTCACTGCTTGCCGGGTTTGAACCGGCGACCTCTTAACTCGCAGGTGCAGCTGATACTTGCGAATCTTGGTCAGGAAGGGAACAGGATCGGACGGTCCACGTTGCGCCGCGCTTTGCGGATGTTTCCAGAGACGCCGGACTGGAGATGGCTGAATGGGGTCCGCAGATTTCCGGGTTTGCACGTCGGGAAGCGGGGTGCTCGTTCGGAATGAGGTTCGGGAAAGTCAGGTTCGGTATCTACCTTTGGCTGGGATGTCAGTCATCTTGGCTCGGCGCGCTTTTTGACCCTGGGATTGCTGACAGGCAATTGCGGTTGAACCAACGGCATTGGCAGCGGAGCGAACTGGAGGATGCAAGGAGACTAGAGAGGGAGGATATGTCCGGACTATCTCCCGTTCTCCTGTGTTTTTCAAGTGGTTGGACTCCCGGATTTGCTCCGGTACATAAGCAGATCCGAAGGGGCTTACGCCGTCTCCGTCAACCGTTTCTTTCACCTTAAAAACATCACCATCTCACGACCTCCTCACCTCCCTTCTCCCCATCCACTCGTTTGCCTCTCCACCAACCTTCACAACCCCCTCTCCGCCCGCTCTCTACCTCCACTGGTCTTCCTTCCACCCGTCCGGTGATGCTGCCAGCTGGCACCTTCCAGCCTGTCAGTCATGCATCAATCTTCTGTTCCTGCCCTGACTGCTAGGAGCAGCATCCATTTTATGCCTCTCACCTGCAGCTGCTGATAGTAGAGTCTCTTTGCTGCTCCAGCTGCTGTCTCCGCTTCAGCTGTTTCGGCTACGGTACTTCAGCTGCTACAGCTGCCTCTCGCTGCTGGTTCTTTGCTACCTCGCTCAGTAGTTATTTACCCTGCTCAGTAGTTATTTACCCTGCTCAGTAGTTATTTACCTCGCTCAGTAGTTATTGTTGGAAACAATTGGTCCTAAGCGCCTCTGTCGTGTCGAAACACTAAGGCACAAGCGAAGCAAAGCATGTCG